CAAGATAAAGGGATTTAGTGGAGTTTGAAAAGGCCACCAAGCTTACCCATATTTTCCCCAATGAATGTGCTGTAGGAAATTTCTCCTGACAGGTTATTATGACTACTTTAATGTACATATGACCAGCTGTCTGGAAAGCAGTCCAAATTACAAATTGTTCATAAATATACTGACATACTTGGCGAGAGCAAATTGCAGTGCTGAACATTTAATTTGATCTTTGTTCTGTAAAAGAGTGATACTGCCTTCTGAGTGGGAGTAAGAAGCTATATATCCTTCGGAGAAAGACGCATCTCTTTTTCTGTGTGCTTTCAAATACCTCTGTTTGGGAAGTGCTCAACATTAAAATCATAATGGGATCGGGTTTTTCCATGTACTGAAGGAGTAAGAAATGGGTTTTTTTTTTCCCCCAAGTTAAATTGAGTCAAGGTTGGCAAGAAAGTGGTATTAGCCCTCTCTGGGGCTGTCTCCTTCTCCTCTCCCCGTGTGAGACCGCTAGGTATATGTATACCCCAACACCTGATAGCCCGGCTTCTCAGTAGGGGGTGTTCTCAGAAGCTGTTGCTTCTCAGCTAGGCCTGTGGGGTCCACACAAAGTGAAGTCGGAAGGCTTCAGTCCCTGTGTGCCCAGTTCATCCATGGGCATTTCCATGTAGCTCCCGAGCCCGCAGTGTATGCTGTGGGGTCCTCACAGGGGATAACCTCCCATCCTATAGACAAGGAACCCCAGCCGTTTCAGCGGTCTGCCTTGGTTATGCCAAATGTGGCAAAGCCTGGATTTCACTCCCAGGCCTTCAAATCCCAAAACAACAGTTCTTTCTACTTTGCCACAGCTTTATTTGCTGGAATTTTCCTCTTCCCCCTTTGACCCTCTGTGATGTACCCCCTCACTCTGGATATCATATACCCCACTAAAAACTCTGAGGCCACGGTTGGTTATGTGTATTATGCAAAGACTGGAAATGAGGACGGGATTTTTTTGAGACGGCCTCCGGAAACCTAGGATGTACGGTGACTACATCCATTGTGTACCTGAGTGCTATAGTTTTTTGACCAACTGACCAACTAGCAAAAAAGCCCTTTTGAACATGAGCTTTATTTCCATAGTCAGGAGCAAAGGTTCAGGAATTCCTACTTGGGAATATAGGCAGACTTACCAACTCAGTTTTTAAAAAATGATTATTTGGGCAGGACCCAATTGCCATGCGTCATTTCAGAAACCTGGATGTCAAACGTATGGATCGTCACACTTATGCAAAACTAAAACATTCCCTTATTAAGAAACGAAAACCTTTCTCTTTTATCATGTGAGTTAGATTTTGAAAAAATATATATTTTAGCCATAGAGTAAAGAAATCTGAAATTATAGGGGCGCCTGGGTGGCTCAGTCAGTTAAGCATCTGCCTTCAGCTCAGGTCATGATCCCAGGGTCCTGGGATTGAGTCCCGCGTCAGTGGGGAGTCTGCTTCTCCCTCTCCCTCTGCTTCTCCCCCCGCTCATGTTCTCGCTCGTGTTCTCACTCACTCTACTCTCTCTCAAATAAATAAATCTTTAAGAAATCTGAAATTATATAAAATTCCCCAATAAGACTGGCCCTTGTTTCCTACAGGAGATGCAGAAGTTTGTCAATACCATATCAGGAACTCCATGTTCTCCTCTTTGTGTGGCTCCTCCCAACCCTTCTTCCGCCCAGAGCCCTCCTCCCCATCCTCCTGTCTAAACCTGTGTTCAGGAAGGCATCTGCTTCCAGGGGGAAGGGAGCATGTGCCTCTGTATTCCCAACACGTGGCATAGGTCGATGCTCATAGATGCTGATTGATGGCGTGAATTAGTGAATGAATGAATGAATGGGTGACTCAGAGTCAGTGCGTTCCTTCTCTCACCAGCGTTTGTATTAGAAGCCTCATCTCTGCTTATTAACCTTACAGTTTTTCCCTTGGTAAAGGAACTTTAACCTACAGAGTGTCCCTGAGCGAGTTTGCTGTGAGGTGAGGGGTGAAGTAAGGACCTCTGAAGTCATGGTTTATATGGGCACACATCTGTCCTGCTTACCTACAAGGTGGGTCTCTGTGCCATGTCACATAAATTGGAAGACACTAGAGCTGTTACCCAGGCTGAGGATTACGAAAGTATTACTAGAAGAGGATGCCTTGGGCACATATTGGTCATAAGTAGAAAACGTCTTGACTCAGCAGTGAATCTAAAAGATTTCAATTATTTAGTCTTTTTATAACATTAGTTCCTAATGTGATGGTTTGAGTACCATAGTATGGTTTAATCTTACCGTCAAATTACAGGACAAAATCAACAAGACCACCTGAAACACAGATGGTATTATAACCAACCACATGTTTCATAAAATGGTATGTCTTTCCAGACATGGCGAACCTTCTCTCCAAGGCCTCTTCTAGCCTCTTCTTGAACACTCCTGGTGATGGGGAGTTTATTGCTTTGGAAAGGTCACAGAGTTGGAAAGTTTCTATGACTCTGAAATCTGCTTCCCTGAAATTTTCACTCATTGGCCCTGACTCATCCGTGGACAGGAACATTTTCCAAAGTGTGACCTGAGGAAACTAATTAAGAAGTATTATTAAAAAAAAAAAAAAAAAAAAAAGTAAAGAGGAAGTTGTGGTCAAATAAGAACGAAAATCCTAACTTAAAAGGGCAGCTTGCCCGGGGACTTCTCAGAGCCTTCACTAGATTCCTGGATGCTGTGAATCCCCGCGAGGAGTGGGTGGGCACAAGGCATTCTCCTGACCATGGCATCTCTTATTCTACAGAGCGTCCCTGAAGATTCACTCAGCAAGCAATGTTTGCAAACAGTTATCCAAATAAACATCAAGCAAATCTACTTGTCCTTCCACATACAGCTCTCCAAATACTATCTGAAAAAAATCATAAGGAACATAAGTTTAAAATCCAGGCTAGGGGTGCCTGGCAGGCTCCATCAGTGGAGCATGTGTCTCTTAATCTCAGGGTCATGAGTTCAAGCCCCATGCTGGGTGTGGAGCCTAGTTAAAATAAAAAAATTTAAAAATCCGGGCTAAATATCCTAGTTTCCTAAAGAACTATGCCTGTGATAAGGTTTATAGACCTCCTCTGCCTCCTGGACCCTCTCCCTTAGATTCTTCTCTGGATACGTTATACCCCTTCTAACACACAACATGTTAAAGCAGAGTTCCAAATTTGTAGTTGCTGCTGGATGTATGGTTCATCCCCTCTGGCTTTAATTTCCTCATCTACAAGTGTGGAAAGTCAAAGTCTACCAACCTCACTGAGTCATTTTAAAGATTAAGTATGTTAATGTACGTAAAGCACCACGTACGCATTAGCTGTGTGCTGGTTTTCCATCTTCTCTACTATTTAGGACCTAGTTCCTCTTACACGTGTTTTAGTCTTAACCTTTCACATTCAGATTCCAGAAGATACACACAGAGAAAATATTGGGTCAATCATGTAATGATCTAAATCTTACCTGTCTGTGGTCATTATTTGGTTCCCAAGAGCCTTGCTACTCCAAAATCACCTGGGAGCTGGTTAGAAATGGAGACTCTCAGAACCTAGCCCAGATTACTGAATCAGAACCTGCATTTTCTTGAGATCTCCAGGTGATTCATGGACACATGGATTGAGAAGCAGTAGTCTAGCGGTGCACGCAGCACTGAGCCTCTCTATCCTCCATGGCAACCAGCACAGGGCTCTGAACACAGCAGGGACCAAATGGGGTTTTCTAGCAGCCATGTTTATTAACTGAAGCTGTATGAAACTTGTTAGTAGGGGGGATAGATAACTGGAAAATTCTGGAGCCAAAGGCATGCATAGAGTAAACAGGAAGGGGCTTGCCTCATAGCAATTACTACAATTTGTCTATCTAGATCAAAAAGCAGATATAGTTTTAAACACTAAAAAAACTCCAGAAACCTAGCTTTTGAATTATCTTTTCGTTTTACTTGTTTTTTCATTACTTAATCTTGTTTTGATTATAATCAAATTCTAAATTGTGAGTGATGAGGCTGACGGTTCAGTGGACTATATTTATCCTTTGAGGCAATAAGAGGCATATATAGAACAGAAAAGGACTAGTGCCAAGATTAAAAAATTTATCCAAGAAAACATTTTTGGGATCTGCCCTCACATAACAGAAGACAATAAAGATTTGATACAGGGCAAGGACTTACTTGTGGCTTACTATGATGTGGACTATGAAAAGAATGCTAAAGGTTCCAACTATTGGAGAAACAGAGTGATGATGGTAGCAAAGAAATTCCTAGATGCTGGAAACAAACTCAGCTTTGCTGTAGCTAGCCGCAAAACCTTTAGCCACAAACTTTCTGATTTTGGCTTGGAAAGCACCGCTGGCGAGGTTCCTGTTGTTGCTATCAGAACTGCAAAAGGAGAGACGTTTGTCATGCAAGAGGAGTTCTCACATGATGGCAAGGCTCTTGAAAGATTCCTGCAAGATTACTTTGATGGCAATCTGAAGAGGTATCTGAAGTCTGAGCCGATCCCGGAGAGCAATGATGGGCTGGTAAAGGTAGTGGTAGCAGAGAATTTTGATGAAATGGTGAATGATGAAAATAAAGATGTACTGATTGAATTTTATGCTCCTTGGTGTGGTCACTGTAAGAATCTGGAGCCTAAGAATAAAGAACTGGGAGAGAAGCTCAGAAGAGACCCAAATATTATCATAGCCAAGATGGATGCCACAGCCAATGATGTGCCTTCTCCATATGAAGTCAGAGGTTTTCCTACCATCTACTTCTCTCCAGCCAACAAGAAGCTAAATCCAAAGAAATACAAAGGTGGCCGTGAATTGAGTGATTTTATTAGCTATCTACAATGAGAGGCAACAAATCCCCCTATAATTCAAGAAGAAAAAACCAAGAGGAAGAAAAAGGCACAGGAAGATCTCTAGGGCAGCAGCGAGAAATGCCACTTTGTGAAAGGACTAGTCCACCAGAGATGGGAAGACCATTGGGAAGGACTGGGACCCATATTACTCTCAGGGCAGAGAGGACAGAATGGATATAATCTGAATCCCGTTAAATTTTCTCTAAATTGTTTCTTAGCTGCACTGTTTCTGGAAATACCAAGACCAGTTGATGTTTGTGGTTTTGTGAAAAACTATGTGTGTTGGGGGGAATGTTGTGGGGGTGGGGGGATTGAATTGGGGGGGTTATTTTCTAATTTTTGGGGTACATTTGGAACAGTGACAATAAATGAGCTCCCTTAAAAAAAAAAAAAAGATGTAATGTCAAGACTATGGTCTTTGCATTAAGACAGACCTGAGTTCAAAGCTTAGCTCTACCTCTTACCAGCTCTGTGACACCAGGAAAATCACCCTGCCTCTCGGAACTGCAGCATCCTCATCTGTAACAGGGGCATAATAATGTCTTTGTAATGAGGGCAAAGAAGGATAAACCAATATAATGCATATAGAGCTTCCAGCATAGTTACTCACACATAAACAGCAACTCCCTTTTCAGCATGTACCAACTTTCTCTTCACCAAAGCCATAATTGTTTGTAGTTTGGGACAATCCTCATGGGATTTATTATATCATGTCTGGCCCCTGTTTTTCCTAGTCACTCTCAGCAGAGTGAACAGTGTTGCTGCTAAGGCATCTTAGCCTAACAACATGGACTTGGGCCTTCATACTGACCCCTGGGTAGTCCTGGTGAAACTTACAAAGAATAAGAATCACAACAACAAAATGTAAAGCCATTTCTTTTTATTAGAAATTATCAAATAAAACACCATCCAAAGTTAGGGTAAAAAAGACGACTTGAGGAAAAGTATATGTTTTTAACATAACATTTTATCAAGTTTATTTTTGATCCTTTCTTGTATATGTGGATTTTGAAGTTGTTTTTCAAACCTTTCAGATTTTGGGCTGTCAGCTTCCCCTTTCATACTAGTCTGTCTCCTTATTGGAGAATGGATTGAATTGCTTTTCACGGCTCCCGCCCCCGGGGCCGCCCACCCGGCATTTCAGAATCCAAATCTCACTCCCAGGATCCTTGTCTCTGCAGCCAGTCAGCTTCCCCTTAAGCCTCTCCCTGGGGCTGGGTTAAAACCTTCGGGTTGGCTGGGCAAGACTCTCTAGCAAGCTACTCCCATAGAGAATTGTTTTTTCTCTGAGTTTTTGGCTCTTATATTCCAGATTCTAAACATGGCGGGGCCATCTTCCTTTTAATCAACCTCTTCAAGCTGAACCTAGTGGATGGCTTTGCGAGGGCCATTTTTCAAGGACCAAACATACTGTTACAAAATCAATAGATGCTATATTCAAAGTTAATTATCATCTCTGGTAAATTGAAATTAGCCTAGAATTTCACCAAGGGTTTTTGTTTGCTGTTGTCATTATTTTTCCTCCCTAAGGAGACCGTATGTTGATCTTACGACGATCCAGCCATGCCCTCTCTTTCCAGCCTCCTGAGATACTTGGCAGGACTTTCTGTGGTGACTACAGGCCCGTGATCAGGAAATAGAAACAAAGCGAAACTCACTGGCCCATGTAAGACTTTGGTCACACCATACAGTTGCCAACCAATAGGAATGAGCCGAGCTAATGGAAATTACAAACGCCTGTGGAGAAGACTAGATGATTGGTCCAAATAGTGTCACTGTTATAAAGAAAACTCTCACTTAGATTTATCAATCCACTTTGGTCCAGGTCTCTATTTAGAGGCAAAGAGGATAGAAAACAAAACAGTACAGGCTTACAAAATAAGGAACTCGTCGTGATTGTTTAAAGTTAGATGTGGATATAAATTTGTGTTTCAAGAGTTACCCCATCAGCTGATTTACTTACAACATTTGGCACATCTACGCCTAAAACTTCACAAATGAATCCCCATCTAACTAATCATCATTCTCTTTCACTTCAGGAAATGTAAACACGAGCTAATTAAGTGAATCTTTTGGAGGAGGAATTATTTGATAGTGTTAACCTACATTTGACCCGCGGTGGATGCCATGTCAGGTTCCCAGCGAAATCAATGTGTTCTTTTAGGTTTTGCATTATGTTGTTGTGACCAGCTGTAATTACAAGGGGAAAAATTTGTTTTCTTTAGACACATAATTTGAGATGGCTTCCAGATCTCACGGCTCGTTTTATTTTCCTATTTATGAGATGCAAAGATATTGCCACCATCCAATTACATTGGGTCACGAGCTTTACACCTGCTGTGATTTAATTACATTTTTGTTTATTCAAACACTTATACCCCACGTGTGTTCACAAATCATCCTTACTCTAGTGGCAGTTCCCCAACATGGCTGTGGGAGAAAATGGCCTTTGAAATGGTGCTTTCTTTGTAGTGCTTAAGAAAAGAAGGCGGGACGTGAAGAAGAACCTCAGAAGATGAGGGCCAGGCTTGACACACGGTTTCATTAATACTGGATGGCAGAAAAGGAGCCAAGTCCCAGATAATGAGGAAGGAGTTGCAATTTTTTTTAAAGCTATCTGGTGACAGGGAAAACAAAAATGACATTCAGCTGACGAATGAGCGGAGTTTGACCTAGCCTTTTGACCCTTGACAATCAATCTTACCTGCTACTTCATGAAGAATTATAGCTCCGCCACTCACATTTGACTCTGGATTTTTACTATTCCCTTTACCTTTTTTTTTTTTTGAATACATGGTCCAAGAAGATAAATGTTTATGTTGTATACAGCAGAGAGGAGGAAATATGGGATCCTCAGGAGGGGGAGAAAGAGAGGAGAGAGCAACAAGACCAACAGCCATAAAATGGTTTATACATGCAATTCAGAATTGTCAGGGATATTTTTTATGGGGCTGACCAAAATAGCAACTGGAAATAAGTGATGACCTCGTACACCTGGTCAAGAGGAGGCACCCAGAAGAGTCGGTGAGCTCCCAGCCCGCCTCTGCTCCCCACCTCAACCAGCCCCCAAAGGCGTCAAATGAATTTTGATGAATCCATCGTCTGTGTGCGGGCTCTGATTATGGTGTGTGTGGGAAGGGTTTTGGTGCCAACCATTACAGGAAAGAAAGGGCCCTGGGCCCAGGCCAGCTGTTTTCACTGTGCATTGAAGGCACCAGGGCAAGCACTAAAGTGTGTTTTCCATCCCCCCTTGAGTCTGCCGAGGGAGCATAAATCAGCAGGAGTAAAAAATATCTCGCTGGGGTGGGAGAGGAGACACCTTACGAATGAGCCACAGGGTCCTCTTGGGCCTTCAAGGTGCTTTGTTTTTAGATATAATTTGACGCCATGTGTCTCGAGGCACTCAAACCCAGGCTCGTCAGCAAAAGCAACTTTATGGAGCTCGCCCGGTGCATAAGCTGGCCGCGGGGACTTCTCCTTGCCTTTATAGAGTCGAGATTTCCTTTTCAGGGCCAGACTGGACACTTCACGCAAACTTAAGCTCTTAGAAGCAGAATGCAATTTTTGACCATTTATTTTTTTTTAGATTTTATTTATTTATTTGACAGAGAGAGAGCCAGAGCAAGAACACAAGCAGAGGGAGTGGGAGAGGGAGAAGCAGGCTTCCCGCTGAGCAGAGAGCCCGATGCAGGGCTCGATACCAGGACCCTGGGATCGTGACCTGAGCTGAAGGCGGATGCTTAAAGACTGAGCCACCCAGGCGCCCCAATTTTTGACCATTTAATCCATCCTGGATCACTGGGAACTCAAAGCCGTTTTCCCCATCTAGCCCAAGATAAGAGAACCAGGTTGGACGCTGGGGAGATGGATGGAGACTTCCAGTAGCTCCCAAAAACAAAAAACGAAATACCAGAGGGGGTGTTACACAAATGAGCTCTTTCAGGAGCATGCTGCTGAGGCTGCCTCTGTCTTCCTGGAGAGAGACAGCTCCCAAGCAAATAAAAAGAAGCCCAGTGATTGTGTGGAAGGTCACCAATCTGTCGCTGACACCTTTCTGGGTAAATGGGATTACACCTTGTCTCCAGCCCCCTCCCAAACCCAGTCGTGTGCTGGCCCCTCCCCAGCCGTGACTGGGCCAGGCACATCTGTGCGCCCTGTTCTGCTGTTGGTCAGCTGGTCTCCCACCCACCACCCTTCCCCTCCCTGGCATGGAGTTCATTACCTCCAGAATCACAAGGCTGACAAGCTGTTTATGAGGTGTTTCTGGACTGTGTGCTCTTAAAGAATCTCCCCTCAAAATAGGGTGAGCTCGTTAATGGAGGAAGTGAGGTCAGTACTCTGACAGTGCTAACAAGATGACAGAATTTATGAACCGCTGTGGTAGAAAGATGGAGTTATCTGCAGTCTATTCATATAATAAGGCCACTGGGGGCTGGTCGTTCCTCCCCTTGAATTTGCTTTTCTTCCTTCATTCCTTTTTGCTGACCTGCCCTCGCTTGGCCTACCTTTCTGATCCACATAGAATGTTATTACTCCGGACCCCAGCGTCCCTGAGGTAAATGGCGCACTTCCTCCTAAGGCCTGGTGGGCCTGCTCTCCAGGCTACAGGGAACCGTGGGAGAGTCGCGTGGGCCAGGCCCTTGGTCAGGTTTTTCTGTAAAATCTAAACATGGTGTCAAATTGGCAGCATCTCAAGACCAAGTTAAAATGTTCAGCTTAACATAAGAAACTTGTGGCGGTTTCTTTTTAACGTCCGATGTCCTTTTATTTCCAATGAATGGGGACATATTTGTTTTTCATAATTCTGTGAAGTGGAGGTAAATCATCTTGTTCCTGGAGTAAAATCACCATGACCTGAATAATCAGGGAAGACTCTATACGGATGTATGACTTGGACGAAATAACAGAGCAAAAGAGTTGGAAAGTGAAGGGGAAGAAGGAAAAAAACAAGAAAATAAGCAAAACCATTTCTGGCATGAAAATGAAGAGCCAGTTTGCTAATAGAATTTATTAGTTGGAAAAACTAGTCACAGGCAAGGTCGACTAGTAACGGGGAATAAACCTGTTTTTACATTTTAAGAATTCGTTCTAATGAGATCATTTCATCGTGGGAGAATCAAATGTCTGTTCAGAAACCCACCACCATGATGGAGGCCGCTGTCTTGGTTTTTACTTTGACTCAATATGACTTGTCAACTGAAAGTATTAA